TATACCACGGTCCAATTACATTCAATGATTTAGCAGGTGCATTGTTTCGATTCAAAATGATGGAATGCAACTGGAATTATTTCTATCAGAGCGAAATTACATTCGATTCCTCTGGTTAAGGGATATCATCATCCAACTTTCAACTATTATCTATGAACTCAAGGAAGCGAAATTATCTCGGAAATCTGAAAAAATCTCTGTGTTGACAATGTTATTACTAACTAAAGAAATCCAAGAAGCACTCAAAAATTATAAAGAAGGGAATTTCTTTCAAGTGATAATGAGCAAAATTATTTAAGAAAATTCTTGGTGTTGATAGGAATTCCAAAAAGGATGTCATCCAAGTCATCTTAAAACCCTGGAATGAAAGGGATCTAACAAAAAGAACAATTTTACATTTTAGAGCACCTCAATCCGACCCAATGAGATTCCTCATTCTGATTATCACGTAATCCAAATTTTTTCTTCAAATTTCATGAAAAAATAATGCTTGGGATCAATCTATAAGTGAAGAAGACAAAGAAACGTGGGAATCTCCGATAAACAAATAATCAACAAACATAAACATAAAAGTGACATATTGCTCAGAGCAAGCGCAACTCCATGTCATCACCGATACATCAACTGTGGCCTATTCTGCGGCTGTATACACGCGTAGTCCTTGATATTTAATTTATTTAATACTGAATCGTACCAATTAAAGGCATCAGTATACTTTGAATGGAGTTATTAGCAATACTTATTGTCCATTTTGTAATAAATCAGTTAGGTCTCGAAAATGCACCAGTAACTTTATGGTCAGACTGGAAGTAAATGTCTACTACACTGAATCCAGGACCGTTCCCGAACTATGAAATATAGTGGAAAGGACGACCGTTGCTGGAAAAGGGGGAAATCAACTAGCCATAATAGCCATAGCAAATGAAGAAAGTGAAATCCCTATCGTAAAAGCAACAAAAAAAATTATAAGAAAAAGTTTTAAATTTACAGATGCAAATCGTTTTAGTCAGTGTTAAAATTACTAAAGACTATTGCATGATGAACTCTTAAATTCATAAAATTACAGCAAGAAGACAAATACCATAGCTACAATCTTACCAACGATAAACGGTCAACTTGCAACAGATGATTGCAAATTAATAAATGGAATCCATATTACGATAAAGAAAACTGCTATTGGAAATCCAAAAGTCGATTGGAAATTCCGAATTGAATGAGGACAGTTTATATCCAATTTACTTTTTGTAACATAATTCCCATAACTGTACTTTTCATACAACTAATGTTAATAAACGAATTGTCAGATTGGTACATTTCAATAATAAAATTGAAAGCAATTAACAGCATATTCTTCTAATAGGCTGTAACATTCCAGACAATGCGCATAATAAGCATATAACTACATCTTCCAGATGTATGTTGGATAAACAACTTCTCACTTGAGATATAAAGTTTTTTACTTGAAGTATAAAGATAAAAATAGTTGCTTTAAAACAGAAATGGAGTGGACAAAGAGTGAGGTAACAAGAGAAAATTGACTAATACGTTTCGAGAATACTTCATTTTCTTCCAAGTGATAATGTTTATCATTCTTGTTGGATATGTAAGATTTTTCCATAGGATTTTCTATTTTCGTATATATTTATTTGTATTTGACGTGTATACTGCAAAAAGCACTATAAATTATCAAACTACACTTATACACTTGTAGTTAAATTTTGGCATGTTCTGAAACCACTATGTTCAATTATATGACTGTGACAATCCTAAGAGCCGAAAAGATAAGAGTATTCATTTACAACATACAATTGTCCTTTTTTAATATTTATGTAGATAGTAAAATGTTCATTTAGAGCGTATCGAATGTAGTCCTTAGATCACTGAATTTCACTTGACACAATGGCTTTACTGTCACCAAAAAGAATATATGATTTTTCTTCCAACTATTTGTTTAAACTTTATTTCTTCAGTTGTATACAACATATATAACAATTCTTTTTTGCACAGTCCGTGACAGCACACTACTGACTGAAGAACAAAACACTGAGGAATCGTTCCCTCTTCACACGAATAGATTTTTCAATTTTTCATTAATATTTTGGAACAGAATTCTTTTTTCTTTTTTAAAGAATAGTGACTTAAGGTTGTGCCATAGCTGGGATCGCGTAAAAGTAATTATTCGAGGTGGATGTGTAGTAACAATGTGGCTTGTAGTAATAATATTTGTGATGAAGTTGCATCACTTGAGCCAATTAGTAATAACTTTTTATATTTAAGAAAAAAGTTTTCTCAATTAATATTTGACTCTTACGGTGCTTAATAATGTCACTTGAATACCAAAAACTCTGGATTACGCAGACTATATTTTTGTCGCGTACATTACTTTATTCTTTGAAATTTGAAGTACTGATATTTGCCTAATTGCTATGAGAGATTTATAAATCCTTATGTTCACTTTAAAAGTGTTCAGAGGCAGTCTTTTTTAACTGCTAGATAGAAATCATGCATTTTTGTGCCTTGTGTTGAGAATAATACCAGGAGCATAATATTAGCTGGTAAAGCGCATGATTGTTAGATTTAATATAGAATTAATCCACTAGAGCACATTAACTTGAAGAATAAGTTTGGAAGTATTTTGAAAACGATTCGGTATGTCTAATTTCATTAGGAAGAGAATGTATGACTGCAGATAGTGTTTTAATTTACTGTATACTTTGTATGGTCTTTTTTCATCCTTAAAGTAGAGGTTTTTGATTGTAATTCACGAGATACTGTACTGTTTTTATTTAATCATCCCGTTTAGATTTATTTTTGTGCAAAATATACTGATGAGCTATTAATATATTTCGCATAATTTTTTAACCTTCAGATTTGACAAAGATTTTGTTTGCACTAAAATTATACTTGTTTCCTTAACGAAGTGTCAATTTGAGTCTGGCATATTTGGTGATCACCTCATTTTTTCTTTGTAGGTCAGCGTATTTTGTAAGATATTGGCGAAAAAGTTACAAGTATTACGAAGTGAGAGAGTATAGATGAGGAAGTGTTAAGTTACTGGCAATTGACCGATTTTGTTAGAAAGGATTTCAGAGTAGGCTCCAAAAATAATTTAATAGCTAATTTGGTATATGTTTCATTTGAATAACTCGACAAGAGAAATTCAACAGGGGATGAAGCTAGTGAAGATGTTTAGTTACTGCTACGATAACACTGCTACATTAGTATCCTACACTGAATTATGTTTCCATGAATCTCTTGAAATTATTAGTTTTTGCTATACCTCAAATCAACTCCAAACAGTCTTTATAAGCAATGCAAGGAGGGTTTGTGCTAGTTTATTCCACTGAAAAGGAAATAACGTTGATTTTTCCCTATGTCAGAAAGATATTCACTATATAATCGTTTTATTGACCATTCCAATGTTCCGAATTATAATGCACAAGAAAGGATGTCAATCAAATTCCTCTGGAACCATTGATAGTATTACTTTTCAAATACAAGATCTGAATATTAAAATGAACCAAGAATGAAATCCTGAACTTTGACTTTGCCATAACACAATATTAGGAACACGACATTTGTACAGATGAACCGCTTCAACTACCGGAATTCATCAGCTTTCTACGTATTCCAACAGTTTTTGAGCAAAAATTACAACTATTCAAATTAGAAAAATATGATTAACAAAGTAAGCCTATTATCAAATAATCTATATCTAGCTTCTGACCAAAAACTTCAATCCATTCATTCCAAGAGCCTGTTTCGATAAATAAATGCATAGAAGCTGAAAAATAAATAAATGAGCTAGAAACTACTCAGCAATTTTCCAAAACAAATCATTGATATTAAAGAGAATTAATTTAAAGGAAAGGAACTTATAACAATGAGAAAAAAGCAGAGAAATTTTTGGAGTTGAAAATAAAGCCAAAACTAAATGTTATTTATTTCATAGTGACACACACAAACAGTTTTTTATGAGAAGATGTGGAAGATACAGAAATAAATAACGTTACGTAAAAACACAAGTTGTCCTAAACTAAACTTAATCGAACTGACAATGAGTAAAGACTGTTATGCTGATGTAAAATTCTGGTAATACTGAAAATATTTGAATATTATAATGTTTGACAACAGTTGCATATCATATAATCCGTCCTATCAAAACTATATCCCATTTGGGTACTGCTGAAAAATTGAAAAATTAATATATCAAAGACGAGTTACAATTAACAACACATTAAGAATGTAAACATATAAATAAAATCAACATGCTACAACCAAAATGACAAAATGTAGTAACAAAGTACAGTAAGTTACCTTTTGCTACTACTTTGTTGGTATGTGGATCTCCTGAAACGTTCCCTGTAGAGATTCAAAACTTAGTATAATTCCCAATTCTCAATTTCCATCACAACTGGTTTAATCATGAACAACAGATATAAATAAATAAAGAACAAAATTTTGAAGACCAAAGATTGTTGTAAAGATTATTTGAAGACTTTTTCTTTTTCTACCAAACAGAAATTAAAAAGCTTTTAATTCCGAAAGCTTAAAATCGAACACAGTTTGTCCCAACTTATTTCTCCTAAATGCCTTTCTTTCTGCAATTAAACGAATGCCACCAATTCAGAACTTTTGTCTACATATAATATTAGACCAAACAATTTGTAATGAAAATCCTTTATTTATATGATTCCACAGAAAACTTTGTAAATGTAAAGTTCACTTCATGTAAAAAGTTAGCACCTACTCTTTTCAACTTCTGTCCATGAGAAAGCCCTAAAGGAACTAGTTCAATCTTACATGAAATATTACATAGGGCTTCCAGAATACGATTTAAGCTACATGCCCAATTGCTGAATTTTACTGACTTGATCCAACCATTTTGTTCCAAAATCTTGTTTTTGTCAAAATACATTTGTTAAAGTATATTTGAGAGTTGAATGTCTAGGAACGCAAACCATGCGCAATATGAAATGTAGAACGAATTACATGATAAATTAGATAGCAATTGGTTCAGTACTGCCATAGCTATCATTGGTGATTCTGTAACATACCTCGAATGCTTGTCCCAATGTTACTATTATTTCAGTTGCTACATCCTAAAAAGTGTTCCAAAGGTGTATGTGATTTTACAGCATAAAGAAAATAGAAATTTCTTTCTATATTATCTCTAAATTAGTTTTCGATTAAAAGTGGATAAATTTTGAGACTGATATATTTCGAGCTTAGGAAATTTGCTACTAAGGTTCTACATGGGACCAGAAAGTGTTACAACTTACGGCAGTTAAGACGCAAAATACATGACAGAAATGACGATCACCATCTTGCGATATATACGCGAAACAATTCAGATCTCTTTCGTCCTGACAGACTATCTGTATCTGGGCTATTTCATGCTCGACAGTAAGTTGCTGAAAACATGACTAACCATGAAGCTAACTAATCAGTCTCCTGTTTTAAAAGAGCTAATTGATAAATCCGTTTGTAACGATCAAAAACCTTTGTGACAGCATCAAGCACTCGAACACCCGATACTGAGATTTCCAGCAAAACATGAGGGACTTTGGCTATTTCGCGAATACCTCTCTGAAAAAATACACATTACCAAACAACAAACTACTGAAGAAAAGTGAAATTTTCTTTTTAACATTCAAGAAAACACACTACATGAATATACCTTACTTTCAATTTGATCATAGCTCTTCGAGAATCCTCTGTCTCTTCAACATTTGATATTTCCATTGACCCAAGGTAATGAGCTGAATACGAAATACAACTCTCAACAAGTGTATTAGATGAATGCTGCCATTCAGTAGGATGTCCCCCAACAACCACTGAATGCGGTATTTGGGTACTTGATGATGACTGCATCGTACTCCTAAACTTTCACTAGATTGATTCACTGGATTCATGTTTTTCAAATTCAATTCATCACGTTTTTTATAAAGTGGAAATAAGATTTCTATAATTTCAGAAAACTAGAAGTGATAAGAAATCACCTGCTCTCTTGACCACTGTCTACTTCTTCTTCCTGTGCTACCGCTGCTCGTTCTGCTGCCCTTTGACGTCGCTCTTCCTTCGCTTTCTTCAAAGAATTTAAAATTCGTTTTTGGTGACCAAGTTTTGTGATACCAAGAATCTGAAAATAATATCTATTAGGAACGAGAAAAAGCAAAGCGTACAAAAATGTCGTCTTAAAATCTCACAGTAAGTAAACCATTTACTTTCAAATGTTTCCGCGTTGAATCAACTGCAAAAACAATCAGCATTGACGTCAACCCGCCACTTACAAAATGACCCAGATAATCTTCCAAATCCAATGAATGCAACCAATCCGAAACATATGTAAAAGAATCTAAAGAAATTAAAAAATTCAAGGATTCCTATCTCTTCGAAAACAAATTTAGCGGTGAGTGGCTCCGAAACTTTAAAACTAACTTGCGCTTGGAACAGAAACATTTGGATAATTTTCTAGATACATCCCGATCTGATGTTGAGTTGACTTATCAAGCCCGATTTCTTGCATAGAAACACGATCGAGTGTTGACTGCTGCAAATAACAATCGTCGATGTAAACTGCGCAACACAAATCTCCTAGAAAATTTTGTAGTACCAAAAACGAATTCCTTAAATACAATGCTCACCTTGCTTATCAGAGCAAAAACATACCATATGGTTAATACTGTCAAAGCCACTGCTTTCAAGAATTTCCGCTATTTCATTTGCTCTGGGATTAGGTATCCCAACACACACATTTAGCCATTCAGCAACAGCATTTACCCCTCGCTGCAAGAAAAAGTGCTGTGTAATCTAGTAAAAGCCTCAAGTCCTCCTTAAAAAGTTAAGGTCCAGTTTCTTACAAATCGCTAGACTTTAATCGCAGAAGCTCAGGCTGTTTCATAAGATAGAAGTGCAACAACATATTCAGTCTTATCATTTCATACTTTTGGCTTGAATTACAACACTGCTTTATTCTAGGGCACCACCACAACTTCAGCCGACTCTTAAGATATGGAAAAAAAAAATCTATGACTTTTACCAGTTATTCATAAGTTAACCTTCCATAATTTAAAATTACAATAAAACATGTACGTAGTCTTCGTAAAGTTTAATTGGTGACAACTGATTCAGAATCAGTGACCTCAGTACCAACCGGTTGCTTATATCTTTTGTCAGCATCAAATCCAAAGGACTGCCTATTTTGCACTGCCTGTGGTCCATTTAACTGCAGCATTAATGCTTGCGATCTGCGGTCTCTAAGATAAACGGCCACTTTTGGTTCGTAATGAGCTGCAAACACCGATTCCCGACAAATTGCGCCACCAAATGACTCCATTATTTCACTGATCTGACAACATATTTTCTTAAACAAGACTCATAACATTTCTTTTTTTTCCAGTTATTTCTCGACAACCCACATACTGCATAGATTTCTAAGAAATAAGAGTAAGGCTGTCATAAGTTGAATTTGGTAACTGAATGGTAACTGGAAAATCCACCTTCTTCCATTCAATGCTTTCATCCAAGGAACTACGCCGGGTTGAAACTTTATCACTTTGCGCAAATGATGTCTGTATAATGTTGTTTATTTCGCCTCTTTGGTGATCTCCATCGCTCGATATAGATAATCCACACATTTCTATAAGAAAAAGTTGAAAAATAGAAAGGAAAGCAAAGTTGTTTTTAATGTTTGCAGTTACAAAAATGCACATCCACTTCTTCCCGCAATTTTGTTAAGAACCAAATTTGTATGAATACTCACCCTTATTTATGCTACCATGTGTCGGGACAGAAGACGCAGTTCGAAGGCGTACCTCCGCAGAAGAAAATGACTGATCATCCATGCTGGAATAGTTTAAATTACGAAAATATTCTGGAGCTAAAAAAATTTAGTTGAAAATGAAATCTCACCTGGATTGTTTGTAAGGATGGCTGTGTTCCTGCGACGGAGAAACTACTGACGGCGGTGTCGAAGAAACATGAGAGATGATTGGCAGAGAACATGAAGATGCTAAAGTGCAGTCTGACTCCACTAAAAGATTTCGCTCAGGTAAATAAATAACGAGAGTTTCCAAAATCACAAGCTTCATTAAAAAGCATAAGAACCTGTTGACGATGACGATATTGCATCCTTCTGTGTATGCTGTGATCTTTTGCTTATAGAGGGAGATTGAGACAACCGCTGCTTAACGTTATCCTAAAACTGGAAATTTTTCTAATTGAAAAATACTAAACACTACGAATCCATACAAAACAAACTTTGTTACAAGAATATTTCAAACCTGACTACAAAGGAAATGATGGATGCGGGATTCGGTAGTTTCAGGACTCGGAAGATGATCAAGTTCAGAATGTCCATTATCAGTATTTGCTTCATTTTCATTTTCTCCTGTTATGCTTTCAGCACAACTCGCCGATGCAGTCTAAAGTTACTAGATGTTAATGCAAAGGAAGTTTTGAAAAAAAAGAAACTAAAAAAAAAAAAAAAAACTATGATGCAAATTTTGGAAATATCTCGCACTCATTAAAAATTACCTTCACTGAACAACCTGAATTAAAAATAGCCGTAACAGGGTTATGATCCAAAAAATAATCGTCATTCAAGAGACGTGAATGTCTTCTCCGTTTAGTCTAAAATAAGAATCATTTTACAATCCTGACTGAATTTTCTGCATTTACTGCTTACAAAGGATAATATAATCAAAAAAAAATGTTTTCAGACGTCCTAAAATTGAAACCTGGTTTAAACATAGTGGTGCGTAATTGATAATGATTTTTCAATACAATTTAGAAGGATCAGTTGCATTCTTAAACTTACTTCCTCCATAAAATACCTTTCCGGAGAATTTTGCACTGACAGAATGCTGGCTGAAGCTGACATAGAAACCTCTTCAGGGAGTGCTAGTGGTGCACGGCCTTGATTTAACGAAACTGTCCCAGATGGAACACTACTGCTTTGTTCTCCAGGGGACAATGCTAAAAATCACACCATTCGACGTAATTTTTTTACATCGCATGATACAACTTCCTGATAAAATAAGATTTGCATATAGAATTCTTGATGATTAAAGGAATAAATAAACTAACCTAGTTTCATTTTAATTGGTTAAAACTTCAAAAATGAACAGCTGTCCTCAAACAAAAGAATAAAAAAAAAAAAAAAGCATACAACGTTCGAGAGTTGAGCAAGCGAAAGTGATGATGGATGCTGGACTTTCCGTTCTGAGTGAAGAAGAGCTTGGTGGGCGATACTTAACGCGACCACTGTTCTTAATTGTACTAGCTTCATGTACTTTACTTTTCCGGGGAGTCGGTTCGGGCTTCAATGTTTTTTCTAGCACGGACAAACGTTGACGGTTGGGTTTCACTGAAAGTAACTAATGATGAATTACAGTTTTAATGATTTTTAATAAAACGTAGACTTCTAAAATTAATTATACATGGATGGTAAAAATATTAAATATGTCTTACCAGGTGGAATAGTCTGTATATCATCACTTCTAATACTACAAGAAGGTGCATCAACATTTTCACAACCAGATTTATGTATGGATTTCAATTCGCAGAAATGCTGCCAACATCGATGTCCTGAGCATAGATTTCTGAATCAATCTTTGAACACAATATTAGATCAACACAGGATACATTTCTCCTTTCTATCCAAGAACCATTGGTGCGCTGTGAGGGGATATAAGAAATCATTGCATATTAGCGTTAAATTCTTGCTTCGAAAAATTCGTGAAATACGAAAAAATACAAGATGCTGAAGATTACCAGGTGGTGGAGCATTATCATAAACAACAAGATTTTGTGGTACATTGTCATAACCTAGAAGGGGATGTCGTGGACTTATCACATTGTCATATGGACCAGCACGCTGTGATCGCCAAGCATCATACGAAAGTGGAGATGGACACATTACTACTGAATCTGAAACAAAACAATCTTCGTAAGGAACTGCAGAAGCAAAAGATTACCATACTCAGAAAAGTGAGGAAAGAGGCTAAGATATTCCACCAAAACTAATTAGCCGATATAGCTACATTTAAATCATTTTTTCACATAATTTCAGTACAAAATTTGTTCCTTCCAGTGTACCGGGAAAAAACTACTATTTCTAATCCAAAATATTTTTTTTACGTTTTGGTTCTCCAACTGCTACCATTTTTTTTACCTGAATTAAGTGATGTTCGAACTCCCATTCTTGGTAAAAGAATACCATTTTTTTGATTTTTTTGAAGTGTATGTCGATACCTATGATTCGGCACTATGACAGTAAACCGAGGTACGCGATTTTCTACACCAAAATCTTCAACTTGACTATGTGATGGTTGTGAACTGAAATACACTTTGTAGAATACAAGCAAACAAGCATAAAAAGTATACACATCATGTAAATACACGGGACCCGAACAAAAATATTTTAAGAGAAAAAAGCCTTACCCAGACTCACTCCCAGATGATTCTACGTGGACGGCTGATAAAGGAAGGATTGAAATATCATCCTGATTGTTTTCGACATTAACTAATGTAACCATATTAGTCTGAAAAATGGTTACAGAATTGTAAATTTTCGGTCCAAGAATATATTTTAAAAAACGGTGAAGAAAAAACCAAGCTAACATACTAAACAAATTAATAAAAAATATTTCATAACATTAAAAAAATACCACTATCGGTGGTGGTGGACAACACGTGGAAATGTCCAAAGTAGCATCAGGCCCATAACTTGAACTATGCTGCACTTGATTCCGAGATGATTGAAGCCTAGCTGAAGCAGAGGAATATATTTTTTGGAAAAAGATCTTGGCTTGAGAAAAATCATTTGCCATCTCAGTTTTACTTCCAAACATTTCTAAGCACCTGTAGACAATCTCGGTATCGGTTTCCATATAACGTCTTTCGGGTTGGCGCCATATTTCGAACAGAAGGGTAAATTCAAGTAAATTGAATGATTCGCTGCACTGATTCTGTCACTTGGACGATCCTTATATTTCTGTATGTAAGCTATAAAAAACAGCAGCAAATATTAGTTTAATAAGTCATAGAAAAGCACCTAGAAAACATAGAACTAAACCTTCAATGAGCTTTCGACATTCTGACCATCCTTCTCGGCTCTGTATCACCTGCGTAAGATCTGAAGCTTTTTCATTTTCATGCTCTGCTAAAGTTTCCAATACAGTACGTCCTTGTCCATCACGGGTATCAACATTGATGCCTACATCCAAAAAAATTGTAAAATAGATGAAATTATTACCATTATTTGAATAAATTTTATTCCACAAAGAGCACCAAAAAAACTAGAATTATTTCCATCTAAAAGCCTTCAAAAAAAAAAAGAAAAAACGATATATGATTAACCTTGTTCAAGAAGCAATTTAACAGCTTCAACTTTCCCAAACAATGCAGCAACATGTAATGCACTACCTTCTTCGGTAACATAGTCAAGATCGAAACCGGAATGACACAATATTTGAAGACAATCAATGTGACCATGACGAGCAGCCGCATGTAATGGATACACCACTTGAGCTAAATGTCGTGACTTTCCTGGATCTGTGGTAATGCACTCTGATGCACTCTAAAGAGAATTCACTTAAAACAACCAAAACTTGTTAGTGAACATAAGTTATAGTAATACCTGCAGTGCTAATTCCGGACAATTACAGATGAGTAACCGACATACATTAGCTTTGCCAAATCGTGCAGCTACATCTAAAGCTGTTTCAGCACGTGCGTTCCTCATCCTGGCGTCTGCATGGTTCTGCAAAGTGTCGTTATAATATAGGCCTTTACTTCACTTAATTTTCAACAAGAATTTTAGAACTTAAAAGAAGAAACACTTATTATAATCCTTCAATGTAAACTAATGAACTTCAAACTGAAACACACAGCAAGCAAAACAGCGACGACTTTGCCATGACCATGTTGTGCAGATAGATGCAGAGGTGATTCTTTGGCATTGTTTACTGCATCAACAGTATTCGGTTGAGCATTAATTAAAGTCTGGAATATATATAAATCCAAGTTTAAATTTTATGGGACTAACAAAACTTCCAAATGCCTAACAAATTACAATACCATTAATGCTGATTACCTTTATAACTTCAACGTGACCATTCCATGCTGCTAAATGTATTGGAAAACATCCACGCCGATCTTTTATTCGTGCCATTTGCGAATCAACATTCAGCAAAATTTTGACTACCTTGAAAAAATTAAATTCGCAAAAGACATGACTGTAGTGAATTGCGGTTACATACAAGGAATGAAGAAATGGATTAGTTGTACCTCTTTATGACCTAGTAAAGCGGCAAGATGTAGCACCGTATAACCATTCGATGGATCCACAATCGAACATAACCATGCTGAATGTGATGTCGATGTACGCAAAAAGCTATAATATTTTTGAGGATTTATTACTACGTTTGCAACCTTTTATTGTCGAATCTTTCCTTTACAATATACTTTTTTCGATTTTATGGAATCAGCAATAAGATTCCCAACCATATTACAAGATCATCACTGAACTACAACAGCTGAAAATCTGTTTTAAAAAATTTAAGAAAAAAAAAAAAGATTACTTCAGTGGCGTTCGTGGACGTCTGTTGCGTCTGCTTAACAGCCATGTCTGCACCTTTTGCGCATCTCCACGTCTCACCGCTTCAAAAAGTTCCTACAAAAATTATCCAATTATCCAATCAAAAATAATGATACCCGCTGTGCGTTTCTTCATATTTGAATATTTAAATGTATAGCTGAAACTTCCGAGAGAAAGAGAGAGAAATGGAACTACGTTGTTTTTCAATTTCGCTAGTAAAATTGCTGTACACAATTCTTTCATCATGTTTTCTTTAATGAAAAAGCAACGTACCTGTTGAACAGAGTTAAGTTCTTTTGGTCCCATCGTTGCATGACGATAGAACTCCCGAGAACTATCAGAAAAATATACTTTTATGACACACTGATTCCATTCTCAAAATATGTAAATTTAAAAAAAAATATGGACAAAAAATTCCCAATTTCACAACGCATCTACTAGCTCTGATTTATACAAATATTTATATTTAGTTGTGAAACAAAATCTCATTAATCCATCAGCAGCTAAATTCTGTCGATAAAGCACATTTTCAAGGACTCGTGAAAGGAATATCAGTATCAAGAACAAAAAGATAAAACAGGAAAGTTAAAAAGCAATTTTAAATGAAATATAAATTACACAGGGGAAATAATATTGAGATATTGGAAGCATTGTTTGTGATAAAAAACTTGAATAAAACAACGTCTTCCCCGTAGTAGACTGCATAGTTGTGTCTCTTAATCGAATGAAATGAAGATCTCCAGGAAGTGATCTCAGATCTCAGTCTAGAATCCAGAAACTCATTTTTTTCAATAAGGAAGTTAACAAGTAAAAAGAGCTAAGAAATGTACTGAGATTATGACGCGATGTGTGATCAGCCTTATTATCCGGTGGTTTCAAACAATTTTTGAACACCACTGGAAAAACACTAGGTGAAAATAAAACTGTAGAGTTGTGAGCGGGGATTTCAATGGCCTGAAATGACCCGAAGGAAAAAAACACTTCCGCTTGATCTACCCGAAAATAGGGGGAGGGAGAGAGAAGGTATGTAAAATAGGGGATATGAAATTAGGGATATGAGTATAGAGGGATCGAGGAAGAATAAAGCAAGATAATTCAAGAAGCAAGAGATAGGCGAAGGAAAGATTGAGGGCAGTCTACGTTCGGCGCATTTAAAAATAAAACAAACACTCAAGTACTAAGAAATAATCGATCCTGTAGCAGTGGAAAAAAGGAATTATTTTTATGTCAGCATAAAAAGTACGTCGAATTTTATGAAATTCTACATACTGGGAACAAAAATTCTTTCATCATAATAAATAATGATTGTAATAGCAAAGCTTATTAATAATTCTCGTTTAAATACCGACAATGACGTGAACGCCGAGAACGCATGAAAACAACGCAGCCAAAATTTGTGAAACATTTTTTTTTTTCGAAACCCCAAGCAAAGTAGTAATGAATTCTGCATTTCAGATGTGCCAAAGGTCAAGCGAAGTTATTCCCTGTTCCATTTTGTGAATTTGTTTTGCTAGATTCAGTAAAATCTAATTCATCCAATTATCTTCCTCTGAAAAATGTACACTTGGTGGGTTGTTGACTGCTCGATCGTATAAATAGTCAAGTTTAAGCTTCATAAGACACACCAGTTGGTCCACCATTCAGTTTCACTTATGTCAATTACCGTCTAACCTTGAAATCTGACACACAATACAACAACTAGACACCCTGCACTTCTATCCCTGCAGTCCCCAAATTTGTTACAAAATTGCTCGAAAATGGAAACAATACCAATCGATTGGGAAAGGTTGTCCGTGGCAGCTGTCTGTGTGCGTATGTGTGCCAGTATATGTATGTGTGTGTGTGTGGGTGTGTGCGTGCGTGTGTATGTGTGTGTCTATGTCTGCCCCTGTTATTGTATCGTGCCGACAATAGGATCATTTAATTTAAACAGACGATACACTATTGGTTGGTGGGATGTAGTGTTGGCGAAATGGTGTCCGCAGATTACTGAATTGTCGTGTCGAGAACGTATGGAACGAGGTAAGTAGTATGGAACGAAGTGCAAGTCCAGGTCTTGCATTTCGATTGTACTTCAAGTTTCAGTAATTTCAGGTATCAAGAATTGGAAATGAGTACTATGAGCAGTTCCTGTGAGCTATTTGTTCAAATGCAGGAGTTAAGGGGACTAAAGGAATCGGAATAGTGGGAGACAAGCAGAGACTGGGCGAGCAGGCGGAAATTCGGTGGGAGACCGCGCCTGCTTCAAAATATCTACATGGAAAAGCGAACCTCCTACACTCACCCATACTCATTTCCTAATATTTTTCCTCTTCATTGAAAAACTAGGACCAAATTTCAGCTTAACTATAGCACTCTTCATTGGCTTAAATAAGCTTGGCGGATGTGTTTTCACAGAAAACACAATATTATTTAGCTAACCATCAGACATACAACGTTGGTTTTTCTTTATGAACTGCCTCAATGGGTCTTTCAATGATTTTTCATTCAGTGTATCCTCAAGAACAAGATTCAGTTTGATGGAACTGTGTGAAGTTCGACAAATATGTAACTTGAGCTAAGGGAACCAAACAAACTATTGCCTTACTACTGCTAGCTAGACGGCTTGGGTAATTAAATTTAAAACTATGGTAGGGGAATACGAGGTTTTGTTAAAATTCAATTCAGAATTGACTAGAAAATAACACCGATTGAAAATGATAAAGCGGATCAAATTTCTTAAGTCTCTTGGACACCAATGTACATCCACTTTTCGTAAATAGTGGTAGGTGGCATTGTTTACAGTTTTATTGCATACTGAGAGCATGCAAAGAATCTGTTCATAAAATACCGAACAAAAAGTGCGAAAAAGTCGATAAATTAGTAATCTAACAGACGCTAGTTGAAAATAATGAATGACATAAATGAAAACTGAAAACATGAAAATGCCAGTTGCCACTGAAATTGGAATTGCGCTACAGCTTCATTTATCTCTAAGCGTAATTCAGAATTTGCTGGCAGCGGCTACATAGAGCTTTATTACCAGGGAAAAAGCTGAGAATGTTAGCTGCTTAGAGCGAATTTTAAGTAATATTATGCCTTTCGACAAATAAGCTTGTGCAACTTTTGCTGGATCAAACAAATTGTTGATTCTACTTTATTAAGAAAAAAAAAACATAAGACAGTGTTTTTTCTTTTTTTTTTGTCTACATTTTATCAATTAGATGTCAAGTAAAAAAAAAAAAAAAAAAAAAAAAAAAGAAAACAGAAAATAATATTCATATTTTTCACTTTGACTCTGCTAAGAGACACTTCATTTTGTTTTAATACTACTTTTGATAAGGCATATTCTCGAACTTTTTACCATTCTCCGAAAATCAGAATCTTAGAAAATAATATTTAAAATCTTTTTATTAATAGCTGTAATATATTATATGGTCTGTTTAGTTATAATAAATATCTCTCAGGAAAAAAGCATTGCTAATTAGTATAAAGGATGAAATTTGAAAACTTCCAAGAAAACACATTTGCAAAAATGTGAAAATGTGTTTTCGCTTGAATGATGAATGAAATCACAGCATCCCAAAATTAAAACCCCTTGCCATTTAAGAATTCTAAACTTCCTCTTTGAAATAAATATCCTATAGGTATGCATAACATCAATTAAATAACTTCAAACCGAACAACCATTGTTAAGCCAACAAATGCTAGTAATAAAAGAAGGCATCATATATAAAAACAGCAAGGCACTTTCTTACTTTCACTTGAAATTTGACTTTTTTCACACTTCTCTGTGGTCTTTCTTAAATACCACCTTGATTCATTCATGATAACATCTGTAATTTTCAAAATAAATTATTATTAACCTTTGAACTTATCAGTTACTTCTCGGAGTAAACTGTTATTTTCAAGAACTACTTTCTGTTGTAATATTTATCAATTTTTCATTTAATCAAAAAGCTTAAAGCTACTGATTTCATTGCCCAATGTGACAAGTTAATCTAAACTGAATTCATATAAGTTAAAAGCAGCCTTCTTTAGTGAACCATCAGGTCTGCATAGTATATTCAGACATCATGAAAGGCTGATAAGTTTGACGAAATCAAGGTATGATTTACCGGAAAAGGAAGTTAAATCTATCGGTCCTAGTGTTGAGTTATGAAGATTTTGGGTTATATTCTTGAAATCTGTCAAATATTTCAGTAACAGCAGTTATCCGATAAGCTACTTGATGAGAAGAAAAAGAAATAATTAGACTGAAGAACTCACATAATTACATTCAACGCTATAACTGGTTTTAAAGAAAACTAATTAAAACGAAAAAGTGGTTAGTGCTACTAGCATAAATTATACAGTAGAAAAAAGCACTTGGAAGATATTGAAGATGTACTGGTTCTTTATCCATTACTATCAGTTCGTTTTACCTCAGAACTCATCCTCACTCTCTAATAATAACTTCTAAAGATCGGAGAATGGTAGCTTGGAATGAAGAGAAAGACTGAGGACGTCACCAAATAATAGGATCGGGATTGTGAATGAGAGAGAAATGAAAGAAGGAAATTCTTATCCTCAGCTACATCATCCATCTTCTATTTTTTTTTTAATTGAACAAGTGCATTTTGAAAATTTTTGCACCCACTAAATTTGTCCTTATTGTTTTTTTTTCTTACCTTTCGAAGCGAAATATTGCGACGACTGGAAGACTGAGGTGTTTGTTACTTGTTGTTCCAATTCTCTAGACGACCACAAATACAATTTATAGCCATTCCATTTATTTCAAAAAAAGCAAAAGCAAAATCAAAAAATTTTTCCCAATATTCCGATTGTTTCATGTCGAATAGCACATTGGTGTAGACGAAAACATTGTTAAGCATAAAAAAGAATATGGCAGAATTTTAAATTAAAAGCACAGAAGAAAACATTTTAAGTGAAAAATAACGCAGTACACAAATAGTTAAATATCAATGATATGCTTAACTTTCTGTTTTAAATTCAGTAGAAAAGAGTGAAATATATCTCAAAAGCTTTTTTTTTTGGTCCTTATGGTTCTCGCTATAGTAAAGCCTACGATACAGAAATTGCACAGTTTTAAGCAAAAATAAAATATTCACACATCAGCTGGCAACTTAGGAAAATGAAAATTGTGTTTTAATCTTGATAGAATTTGTTATAGAAGAGATGGCCTTCCAAGGTAATAAGAATGGACAGTTGCTTAATCTCGAACATGTTCATTATTTTATGAGTTTGACATCTTTGCACAAACATTCTCAAATTATCCATTAAAGTTTTGCTTTCAAATGGCTGATAATGAATAAAATTCATTTTGC